ACACTATGATTAATGGATTTGAAACCCCATGCTCAAGCAAGGAAAAGGAACATCATGCCACATGCAAAGCGCCCCTCTTCAACCATTAGCCTACTTCAACATTCTGCTGTTCTTGTTTCTGATTCATATAAAAAGGATAGCCCTGTGCATGAGGCTCTGGTCTAGGAAGGGTCAGATTTATGCCAACTTAACTCTGCATGCAGAGAGGCTCGTACCCGTGACCTCCAAGTGACAATGAAACAACCTTACCCTTGCACCCTCAGATGCATATATAGAGAATTACAAGACAAACGCTTCTAGGTGACATATCTCGGCCAAAGGTGCAAGTACTATATTTCAACAAACTAACATGACCCTAGGAGTCATAATCAGGGACAAAGAACTTATTATACATTTCCAGTGAAGATTTAGAAAATGAAATATTACAAATCGTTTGGCAAAACATAAACAAGGTTGCTTCATGTTAAGCAATCCTATACCCTGACACACCTCTGCAACAACAAATTAGAATATAAGTATGAAAGATCAGGATCCCAGGAAGCAATTTTATTGCATTCTTTTTCACTAATTTTAGTTTTACAGCATTAAAACTAGTATGCCTTAACGGATAAAACACATTTGGCAAAAAAAAAATTTAGAAGTAAAAACAGCAAACATGGAAATAAAATGTGAAAAATTATTGAGTAGTTAAGACTGACATAGCCTTTGGCCGGTTGGTATTAATTTTAAATAGAGAACAAAACTTTTGCATATTCTGCAAGAATCAGAAACTTTATATACAATGCAAAGAGATGAAATCTTAGGGCCCATTTGGCAACCGTTTCTGTTTTGCACTTTCAATGAAGCAGAAGCAATATTTTTGTTGTGCTGTGTTTTATTCAAAAACAATAACAAGTCTGGTAAATAAAATTTGTTGTACAATGTTTCAAAGGAAAAAAAAATGACATGAAGTTTGAATAATAATAAAAGATATGGTTTTTACATTATATTGGCTTTTAAAAAATAAAATAAAATTCAGTTGTTTAACCACGGTAGCAAAATCAAGTGAAAAACATCTCTTCTTTCTTCCATTTGGGTATTTTTCAGAAGCAAATGTGGTACTGTGCAAACCGTCCCAGTCATTACAGACCATGCTTCCGCCACTTGATTCTATTTTTCACCCATTTGACAACAAAAAATAGAAAACAAAAATTTTGCCAAATAATCCATTTAGTAACATGGACTACACAACAGAAAAAAAAGAAATACAATGTAATAGATTATACAGAATTAAAGCTGACCTTAGAGCCTCGGTTGGTTAGTCTAAGTTATATAGAAATCAGAACTTAGTGTATTCCACAGATGTAGACAATTTGGAGTACAATGCAAAGAAATAGATCTTAGCTAGAGTCAAATCGCAGTTTTAACTTTTCTCAAGAACCGTTACATAACAGAATACTTCAATCAAATAAATGCACCATAAAGGAAAGCTATCTAGCAATATAAACATAAACAAAGTAAAAGATTCTCAACCCAACCTCAATGTAAGATGCAGCAACCTCTGAGTGCTTCTCATTAGTTCTAGCAATAAATATATCCCAAAATACAGACCACCATTCGAAGAGAAAACCACCAGGAGCATCAATGGCTGAAACACCCAGGTCAAAAGATTCAAAACAAATTACAAAACAAGACAAACAAAACCCATAATCCAAGAAGAATGTTTTTCCCCACCCTCTTCCCGAAATCTCTAAAATTATCTTACCAACTGGATCAGATGATACTTTTCCTTCGGCTTGAAAAGCTTGTGCAGAAGCCTTCAAATCCCTCTTTACTAAATAATCATGGATATACACATCCAGCCTGTTCCAGAAATGGCAGGAAAAAGTTGGAAAGTGTTTGGGGGAAGAAAATGAAACATTACAGAAAACAGCAGCTTAAATAATATCAAACTAAAAAGAATTTAATTCCGAACAAAAATAATTATATTTTTTTAAAAAAAATAAAAATAAAAACTACCAAAAAGGAAAACAAAAGGACAGAAAATTAATAATACAACACAGGCCCTAAACACTAATCCCTTCTACCAAAAAGCTGCAACCCACAAATGGAAGATGCTTATCAAATTCAAAGCTAATATATTAATAAATATAATATATCAATCAAGAGACAAAAATGGAAAAACCCCCATCCTGATAAATACCCAAGAAATGAACTTTAAACAAATAATAATAATTTCTGTAACCCAGTAACAAAAAATAAATGATCTTGCTCTCGATTGAAAACTGAAAAACTGCTAAAACCACAAACCACAAACCACAAACCCTAAACCACTGACCACCTAAAGGGAGTGACCACAAGAACAATAGACATGTAAAAAAAAACACACACACACACAACTTTATTTAGAAATTTGAGAACAAGGGACAAATACCGCAAATCAAAGATACCCAGAACCCAAATCTAACAGAACACAAAAAATATATATATAAACCCATAAGAAAACTCAAACATAAAAGAAGGGTAAAAAATAAAAATAAATAAATAAACATGATTGGCGTGTAAAGGCTTACATTTTATCAGCTTCCCAGTTGGTCTGAGACATTTTGTTCAATCCAATGCCTCAAACAAACAGTGATTAACAATGTGGAGATTCTAGAAAATGATTTCTTCCTCTTCTACTATCTTCACCTCTAAAGAATATCATAACAAGGACAAAAGAAAAAAGAAGAACAGATTTTTGTTACTACATATGAAGATCAAAAGAAGAGGGCAGAGAAAAAATTCTTTGAGGGAAGAGAAGCAAAAGTTACTGGAACTATATAGAATATTTTCAACATAAACATGTATTTTTATATATTGAATGAATAAATAAATGAGATAAAGAAGGATAGAGATACCTATAGACCCAAAGAGGGGTAAAAAAAAAAAACAGAAAAAAAAAAAAAAAAAAAAAAAAAAAAAAAAAGACGGAAAGAAAAAGAAAAAAACTTTCTTTTGTTTATGAGTTGTTTTTCTGTTTTTTTAAGAGACTTGAAACTTTTCTTTCTGATAGCTTTGGTGGATTCAGAATTGCTGTTGCAGATATCATAATGGCTTTGTGGACTGAATTTACCTTTAAACCCCTTCATTCCGGTCAAATTTTCATTCTTTGAAACCATAAACCAGTACACATTTGTCCAAATAAAATCGCCCCTTAAAGCCGAAGTATTTACTCAAGGCTCTGATCTAAATACTGTGTGAAATTCTTATGAAAAAGATGGGGTTTTGTGTCATTACACTTTGGTTTCCCACTTTGAACGGAATTTTAAATTTTGAAAAATGGCAATGTATTTTAGTTTATTTATGAATGAGCCCATGATTCTGAAATTTGTATGCTTCCTATCTTTTTCCCTAGATCTCCCCGGTCTATCTATCCTCGTCAGTTCCAGTGGGTGGCCCAACCTATGAAATGACAACTTTGGCCTTGGTTGTCAAAAGATTCCACATGGTTACCATAAAATTTAGGCTCAAACTGAGGGTTGTTTGGATAAACTTGTGGTTAGTCAATTTGTTAAAGAAATAGGGGTTAACTTCTATTACAAGGGAAAAGAAAAGGACTAGGTACAAAGATAGCGTCTGACTGTGGTCTTAATTTGTACTTCGTCCAAAAATGACAACCGGAGCTGTGGTTCTTGTGCTACCTTCATTCTTGATTAAATTCTCAATTTCATCATCTGTTTTTTATTATCATTGTTTAAATTTTTCTCAATTATTTTTTAAAAAATTTAATTTTAGTTTAATTATGTTACGACGCACAAAAAAGTGTTACTTTTTGGATTTATTATTATTATTATTATTATTTAAAGCATGTGTATCGGTCCGAAATTGGAAGTCTCCGTCTGGGAGCGAGTGCAACCCAAGAAAGATATTCTCTTCCAAGAGTCAAGGCTTCAAAACCCCTCTTACAGGCTTTGTGACTGGGTCCTCAAGGCTATGAGTTTCACAATTGACTCTGACGGTATCTCCCTTTCATTCCTCATAGTGGAGTAAGCCGCTGTTCGAAAATGTGCTCTATGGCCATTGTAGTGAGCTTTAAGGCATGGAATAGAATTTACCTAGACCGACGGGAAATCGAGATGAGGCTGTCGTAGTTGGACTCACAGAAAGGACCAAGGAGGCATTCCTGACATCGCTTGAGCGTAAGAGCGCCTCTATGGACCATTCAAACTAGGAGTGCAATTCAGAAATAAGACTTTAAAAACTTACTTTTCAAATCTCTGTCATTGCCACTATATCCCTGAAGACTTTGGAGCTAGCTTTTTGAGAGTGTGATTTTTAAATTTTTTTATTAATTGAACATGATAAATAATGACTTTTCATATATGTCCTTCTATGGGATCTACATAAACTATAATTATTTTTATAACTTCAAAACAAGGAAGGAAGTTAAATTATGAATATTAAAAAAAAAAAAAAGAATGTTATATTAGCTGCCCATTTATAGTCGCTTCTTTGATTGGTTGTAAAACGAATCATAAATGGTGATTAATTGTACCTTTCCTGTTGTTTTAGACATTAAAAATAGTAATTTGTTAAGGACAAAATTGTTCTTTCCACCATTTATGTGTATAATGTTAACTTTTGCAATAAATTACAATACGTGTATATAGGATATATAAATATATAAAAAGCTAAATTTCAGCGTGAATATTTTCCTTTCCTTTTTTATTTTTTTCCTTCCCTTGGATTCTTTCCTTTAAAAAAAATAATAAATTTGTCTCTAATGGTGGTTTATATATATATCACCTATTTTATCAATTCTTTACTACAATCACATCACCAGCATAACTCTTCATTTTTTTTTTTTTTTTTTCAAAGCTATCCTCATCCGATCTCCCTCTCACAAAATAACTATAAGTCAATACAATTTTATTGCAACTAAAACTCAAATTTTTTTTTTTTTTTCATCCCCTCACAAAATAACTATAAGTCAATATAATTTTACGACAACTAAAACTCAATTCATAATTTTATTTCAACTAAAATGTATGATAATGAAAACCTGTTTGTAATTTTGTATATATAGAATCCATCTGCTTGTGAAAGCACGTGTGAAAGCAAAGCCAATTGAAAAAAATTAATAATAATAAGATTAGTTGTTTATGTATACACGAGGAAAAAGAAACACGAAAGATTTAAATATTGAAAGGGTAATTTTGTTCTTAAAATATTATTATTTTTAATGTCCAAAGAAATAAGAAAGATACAATTAATGACCTTTTATGATTGATTTTACAACCAATCAAGAAGTGACTATCCTTAACATTCTTCTTAAAAAAAATAATACATTAAATTTTAAATTGAGACAATTATTTTTTAACAGTCAAAAATGAAAAGGTTGACAATATTTGTGTCACGGAGGGAGCATTAATGAGACAAAATTCAACGTGGGAAATCAATATAAAAATATTAAAAACTCAATTAGTATATTTTAATATTTATATAATAAAGTACAAGAATATTGTAGTCGTTTTAGAACATAAACGAGGAAAAGGGGTCGAAGTATGACAAATATGTTTGTCATCCTCTAAAATTCTTCCAAACAAAATGAGATGGTTTTTATTTTTATTTTTATTTTTTCAATATAAGAAGTGTTAAATGTTAGATTACTAGATAAAAATTTACCGGAGGCTATCTACTGTACTATCTATCAAGGTAACTCCAAATAAAATGAGACATGTTGAGTCATTTTATTATTTGTAAATTATGATTAGTGCTCTTAAGAAAACTCTCCCACCATGAGCTCTCCATTTCAAATCAATGAATTGAAAAATATATTAAATGATTTGTTTGAATTTTTACAAATTTCAAAAAAATATATCAATTTTGTTGTTAAATATGGAGAGCTCGTGACAAAAGTCACGAGAAAGCTCTCTTGAGGCCATTCCAGGAGTAATGCACTTATACATGTTAGTTACTGATGATATAGGATTCTGCGGCGACCTGAAACGACGTCGTACCTGAAAAAAGAAGAGAAAAGTGACCGGGATACCGGTGTGGTACCGGCCTAAGAGCCTCCGACGATCACGTTAGTGCTAGATCAGGAGGATGGAAAAAATGTTAAAAGACTCTCTTAGGGATTTGTGTCGTCTCCCTACAATGAAATGCTTTATGAACTATTTACTGAGTTCTTCAAAATTACTAATAGATCCCGGCTTCAATTTATTAAACCAGACACGGGCTGATCCTTTGAGGGTGGTACGGAACGCCCTGCACAAGATCTCATCTGGGACCGCTTAAGTTCAGCAGTGACTTAAAAGTTTCTAAGTGATCGAGGGGGTCACGGGTTCCGTCTAAACTCTCGAGATGGGGCATCATGAACTTCCTTGGCAATGGGAAAGCGATCACTCAAGGATTGAAAGGTAGATTCGTCTTTTGAATAGGTCATCAATTGTGGCAGGACCTTTTCATTTTAAGGCTTGAGCCATCCCTTCAACTTGTAATTTAAGATTCTTGATCTGCTGATCAACGTGGGTAGCTTTGGTGCGTTCTCCGACATCAGATACATCTTTTCGACAAGGTGTCCGTACACCAGAAATATCTTGTCGTGGAAAACGAGCCGTGGAAGCACGACGGTTTCTTCGTCGACCTCCCGTATGGCTATGCCCAACCATGTCATTATCATAGTTACCATCCACGACGTGTGTTGCGGAGATAGCTAAGTGCCGCATGATTACTGCATTTTGCTGAACCAACTGGTTCATACCTTGGCTAAGGTTCTGAACATGCTGTTCCAATGCTGCAACACACTCCTCCTCTTCCGGAGCACGCCTTGACAAGCTCTCATGATGGGATGCGTGCTCGGAATGTTCTCCCCTTAGGCGAGGCTAATCATCCCCAAGGCGGGGTTGGTTGTCGTCATGGTGTAATTGACGACCACTGTCATGATACGACTGGTTCACACCACACTCATGACGGTGATTGTCATTACCATAAGACTGATTTTCGCCATTAGGTTGATGGTGGTTGCTATCATCATGTGATTAGTCTTGGTGACCTCCTCCATCAAGATGCGAGAGGTGCTGACTTCCTTCTCCAAGATAGACTTTGGATCACAACATCATTGTTATTCTAGGAAACTAGTATCGTTTCTCTACGTTCGACATACAAACCCGAGAATGGGGGGCCAACTGATGAGGAGTCTTTACCCAGGAAATTTGATTGTCACACAAGACTGTAAATCATGATAAACTTCACTATCTTGGATAAAGATAAGAATACGCTCCCCTTTTCCGTGTTGGAAAAGTAAGAGGAATAATACTCCTTCTTCAATACAATTTGACACCCTTATAAAGGGGGCTTTCGGGTTAACACAAAAGGGACGACACAAATCCCTAAGAGAGTCTTTTAACCTTCTTTCCACCCTCCTGATCCAGCACTGATTTGATCGTCGAAGGCTCTTAAGTCGGTACCTCACCGGTATCCTGATCACTTTTCGCTTCCTTTTTCAGGTACGACGTCGCTTCCGATCTCCGTGGAATCCTGCATCATCAATTACCAATATGGAGATGTTAAAGGTTTTAAGGATGTGTTTAAAATAATAAGAGTCAGGTCTCTACTTCTCAAAGAGAGGTTAGGAGTTCGAGCCTCAGTGGAGATATGTGCGTGCGAGTACCAACTAAAAATAATAATAATAATAATAAGAGATAAGGTAACATTAGTTATAAGTTATGAGAAAAAAAAAAAAATGAATTAGGAGAGAAAATAATTTAAAAAAATAAAAATAAAAAATGAAGAAGAAAGAACGATGATAAATTCCACTCATTTTCAATAATAATAATAATAATAAAATTAAAATTAAAATAAATAATAAAAATTTGTTAAATCC